GGTCAAGCATCGAATCAGGCTTTGTTTCTGCTTTAGTGAGACAAAGCTGGCAGAATGGATGCATTGTTCGTGGCACGTTTCTTTTCTGCGCACCCTCCGCTGGATCGACCTATCTGGTCTTCCGCTACTCCGGACATTTAGGAAGGATAAGTGTCGTTGTGCTCAGATTCGAGAGTGGACTTGGCATTGATGTGCACCGAAGTAAAGTGAGACAAAAGTTCCTCTGTACGGTAGTGGTTGTTACCCAATATTTATCGTCCACGTATCGTCAGCAGTAAGGTAGACTGCTAATGATTCCGTTCAGGTAGTTTTCCCTTATTTAAATAAATAAATAAGCGACATATTCTTCCACAGTGCAAGGCACAGTCGAACTGAATGGTCTGATCCGTATGAACAATGGGATCGCATAAAGCAGATGATTGCTCGGATTCTTGGAGTGAGTGACAAAGTGAATGTGCTAGATAGTTGTGAAAACTGCGAACAGTAAGGAATGTAGATTTAATCAAAAATTCAGGAGAAGCAATACGGTCATCCGTGGACCTACTTCTGTTGAGATTCGCTACCCTAAACTTATCCTGATTGGCTGAACTTCGCTCAACGCTGATTGATCGAAGAACGGAATTCTTAGTGAGTGCAATTTTTCATGCTGGGTACTTGTAGGTTCTACGTGCCTCTTACAATACACATCCGTTACATCTGCGTTCCGTCGATACAACAGCTGGCGTCGAGGGCACAACCATGAATCTTTTAATGCAACCTCCATCGGCATTTGGGACAGGCTGTGGAAATAGGCCTACGACAGACTCGTTGCTTCACTAGAAGATTTCGCTCCAGAATTATTTGGATTTAATCACCGAACTAAAGTCCAAAATAAGCGAGGAAAAAAAGCTAAAGCTGCTTCGTCCCTTGCTCGGAGATGAGGGGCAACGGTAGATTGATGAACTAAAAATAAAGGGATGCAAATCAGCGGACGAACAAGGAACAAAAAATTATACGTGATAAGTGGCCTTGTTTTACAAGTCCCGTTAGATAGATGGTGGGTATATCGACATAACAAAATGATGACAAGGATAGTAAAATAGCTGACAATTTAGATATAAAAATGACGATTTATCGTTTGCTCTGCGGTAGTCCCGCGATCCTCTTAGATTCACAGCACCCAGAGTTAACATCAAATAATTCCATGGTATACTCTAGATGTACGATGGAGACATAGTGTAAAGTAACAAAGTGCAAGTAGAAAGTGTATCCTCCAACCGTCTTTTAAATACTGCTAATGTCGGTGCAGAGAAGACCGATTCTGAGAGAACATTCCACGGGTGACAGACACGAATGGAAAAGTAACTTATGCGGCACTCCAGGCAGCTATACTGTACAGCGCGTTTCAATGAGTAGCCCTTCAGCTTTGTATTGCTGCTGAGTTGCAGTAAAGGGCGGCACACATGATGTGGGTCTCACAGAAGCAAGTATGCCATAATCAGCTTGCCTCGTAGTCTAGGATAGCCTACACTGAATACACCCAACCGTTGCAGCCTCTCTTGGTATGAACATTTGCGCATTCCAATCGCCTTCATAGATGCCTGACGTTGTGGCTGCTCCAGTGTATTAAGGTCGTGTGTCAGCTGTGGATGCCAGGCTTGAAATGTGTATTCGACATGGGGGCGAACATAGGCACTGAGCATTTGTCGAAATATGGAGCTGTTTATTTGTCCAAACGCTCGTCGCAAGAGCTCGACGTGTTGGTTCCCAGTCTTCGAGGCCTTTACGGATTGCCTGGAGCAACCCAAGTCATCTTGAACCACGACACCCAAGTCACGTTCGAGAGTGGATCGTTGTAGAATATTCGTTCCGAGCCGGTATGAGTAGCTGCCCTGATGTCGGATGGAAAGCACTTGCAGTTACTGACGTTGAAATGCGATACGTTTTGGGTCGACCATGGATACACTATCTAGGTCACTCTGAAGCACATGTTGGTCGGCATTTGCCTGGATCCTGCGCCAGAGCTTGATATCGCCGGTAAACATTAGGATGTTTGAAGCGATTCCCTGTGCAATGTCATTAATAAACACCAAAAACAAACGTGGACCTAGAACTGAGCCTTGCGGCACACCACACTCAACTTGTATGAGGTCCGATAAATAGCTCCGAACTCTGATCACTAATCACCGTTGAAGTAGAAAGTTGGCAATCCAGCTTAAAAGAGGGTCGCCGATCCCGTAACGCTGCAGCTTGGATAGTAGTATCCGATGGTCGAGACGATCGAAAGCCTTGGAAAATTCCATCTAGATCACATCAACGCCTTCTCCAGCGTCAGCTACCTCAGTCCAACTACTGCGTGCAATTAGTAAATTCGTTGTACATGACCGCTGTCGACGGAAACCGTGCTGCTCAGGAGTGATGATGTTGCAGTTTTCCAGATAGTACACCAGTGCATCAGCAACTATGGATTCCATGACCTTGGAGAGTATAGGAAGAAGATTTACTGGGCGGTAGTTGATCAGTTCTGCTTCTACCCTTGTGAATCGGTGTTTTTATTCCATGCTTCCACATAGCGGAAACTTAATTCTGGTCTAAGCAGCTCTGGAAAAACTGGGTTGGATGTCCTGCCAGTTGGCTTGCTGCTGCTTCCAGTGCCTCTGGACGAATGTTGTCGACAACCGGCGAGCTGTGATTGTGTAGAGACGTCAGCTTTTGCAATACAGCCTCTGCGGTAAAAATGATGTGGGTTAGTCCTGGCAAGGAGATGACAAAGCTTGCTAGATAGCTTGGTGGCAAAACTTTTTGGAACATGGATGCATATTGCATCCGCAGCGCGTTTTCTGCTTCCACAGCCGCTCTTGTTGGGCCATCAGTCGTCCTGAGTGGAAGAAATCCTTGCGTCACCTTTCTTAAGCTATTGACGTGATTGTACAGCAGTTTGTGGTTAGCACTGAAGGTTTTTGCAATGTTGTGCTGATAGGCGGCTTTGTTGAGTGCAGTGGTTAGGTTGGGCTACGTAGTTGGCCCAAGTTTCTGGTGCTGGGGCTTTTCTGTACACTTGCCATGCTACGTTGCCTACCGCCATCCATTTTTGAGTTCTGCTCCTAACGAAAGAAACTGATTTAAACTTACTAAAAACTCTTATCTTTGAAACATCTGCAGTCAGCTGACTGAAATTTTTGACAAACTCGAGGCAGACGACTTCCGGGGGTTCTTCTTCGAGGAACGACCAATTTGTGGCACTGATGAGCTGGGCTAATCGATCGTAGCTTGTGATGGTTTGCACAGTCTCATCGTTCTCATTCAGATATTCTGCGTAGCAGATGAAGTTGAAACTGATGACTGCGTGATCACTGCGACCCAAAGGGCAGTCTAAAACCAACACATCAGTCCTATGCTCCTCTTTGGTAAGCACAAGATCCAGCACAGATGGCCTGTTACCTGTTCTGAACCGAGTGGACAAAGTGATGTGATTGTAAAGAGGAACACTGGGTACAAGTTCTTGTAGATCAGCTTTGAAGTATTCTCCGATCCTGGCGACTGTTTCTAAACAATGTACGTTGAAATCCCCCATGCTAAGAATGTGAGTGTACTTTTGTTGTAAACTGCATCTTAAAGCAGCCGCAAGGTGGTAGTCGGTTTCGGGTGTTGAGTTGGGGGCGCGGCACACCAAGATAATAAGGCAAGCGTCGCTGCCTTCTAACTGCAAGCGGCACCAAAGAGAGTCGGGGAACTGCGAGTCTGAATCTTCCACGGCTTCGCACTGTAGGTCGTTTCGGTAATACAGGATTACCCCTCCTCTTTTTGTGAGCCTGTCGTTCCGGATCAGCGACATGTCTGGTAGCGAAACTGCAGCGTCTATCATTCCCGTGTGCAACCACGTCTCGGTGATATCAATGACATCATATGACCTGGAAGCTTGGCGATCTTTCAGTTTGGCCAGTTTGTTAGAAATACCCTGAGCATTCGTATACAAGCAGCTCAGTTTTGCGGTCTCTAGGAGCCCACAGAGGAATGAAGGGGTCAAGTGTGGGAGAATGCCGACCGATGGGAGGTCGGCAGTTACTCGTTTTTTTTGATGGGATAATGATACCTCGTTTACAACTTGATTCGATCAAGATGCGTCCCAACCTTCGATTAGACCTGCGCCAGAGTCAATGAAAGCAGCAGTCAAGTTACGCTTCTGTACATTCGTCGGTATGCTTGCTGCTTCCGTTGCTTTAATATTTGAGCTGTGCAAAGCGTTTGCAACCTTTAACCGAGTTTCAGAAGGAAGATGTTTCCGATTTCTCCGCCATCGAGCTAAAACATCCTTTGCTTGTTGCTCTGATTGAACTACAAGTTTTAGGATTTTAGGGTCGCATCCTCTATAATTTGGTGAGAGAGGTATTCTGGTGAGCGATCATATTTCGACGGTACCCGAGGTGGACCCAAGGCCTACCCAAAATATAACAGTTCACAGAAGAATGCATCTCAAAGTTAGTTAGCCAATGAAAATGAAATCCAGCCAAGCCAATTGCATAGAGCACTTGATTATTCTCAGCATACGCCTAGGTGGTTACTAGCCATGCAAACTGAACGAGACGAAATGGCAGTAATTGTTACAGGTCCTGCAAGATGCTAGAGCTGAATTGTGACCGGAACTTTGCTTTTCCAGCGAGGAACCAGTAACTGCCCATGTGCGTTGGAACCTTCACAACAATAATTTCGGTTCAAGGCGAAAAGAAATGTTTTCAACATTTTTAACCGTTTTGTTTGAGCGGGTCCATGGGCTGTTCATGCAATTCCCAATGTAAAACAGAGCCAGGGAGACATTCATCATTCAAATGACGCAATTGAGCAGCATTGCAGAATAAAACTTGTCAAATGCATCTCACTTGATAATCTACCTCAAGTACTGAAACCCCATTTAAGTGGCTACCACATATATACAAAGCGCACACAAGCGAGTATACATCCTATAGGTTTGAATTGAATCCAAACAGTGAATTCTAAGTTTCCTTTTTCTCATTGTATCACAGAAATATGCCAGAAATTTCCGCACTCATGGCAGAGTGGCCGGCGAAAGTCGAAGACGCGCTACGCATCCTCAGGCTCCCGTCCTCCGAGCTGGATTGCACTCTAAAGGATTATATTGATATACTATGTGGTAGGTATCATTTCGTTAAAATAATCTTCCAAGTGCAGTGAATAAACTCATTAGGAAATAAAACATGAGTTCCCGAATACACATAACTAAATAATTAGTTGGAGTATCGAACAAGAATACTTCACGCTACCACGACGAAAAGATCAGTTAAATGAAAAGGATAGAACACGACCCCGGGGATAAAGAAGGAACAGTGATCGAATGGAGAGCAATCAAGTATTGGAAACAGCGTTGGTTCAAGAAGACCAATATCTACGCCATTAAATGAAACCCAGAGGATTGCAGTGCAACTGATCCGGCTTGCAATTACTCTAGTCAACGTCAGCAAAGATAAACAACAGATAAACGAGTTGAGGCTGAAAATAAATATCAAAGAGATAAAACCCCTGCTGGATGCCTAGTTGCGTCATATTAAGGTTTTCGTTTACTGACATTTTAAATTCCCCAGATTCAAGCTGGCAACATTTCTCTAATCAGTGCACTGTCTATTTTAATAAGGTTCATCAGGTTTCCTAGCAGATTTTAGACTGGTAACCTTGGAAGTTCACACAAGCGAGACTGTTTTTTGGTCAAAAGTGTCGATACAGACGCCGACAGATAGGAAGAAGACCTGTGGTGTGGAACTTGCATTAGTACCAGGAGGCCCACCACACAAAGCAATAGACAGATCGGGGTTTGAGAGTCATACATCAGTCCGGATACCAAAATCTACGCATAAGTATATGGGCTAGAGAAAGAACGGTTGTAAAATATAATCTATATACCCTAAAAGACCACCGTCACACTTCCCAGCAAGTCACTAAAGCTATGTGGCAGCTGTTTATCGTTCTCCAAGCTCCACTCCATAGATAGACTTGTTTAAAACATCAGCCTTGGGAAGGGCCCTGTGAGCACGATACAGCCATGTTCCCATCTCAGGTGACCTCAATTTTCACAAGTGAGCCGTTCGGCATACGGAAAATAGCTCGTTTGTGGTGGGTACACCAAGTTTGTAAAGTCGATTTTAGACATAGCGTCCTGAGTAATACGGGCCTCCCTCTGAATAAGCTAATATCGCTGCGCCAGCTGAGATGGCTTGGTCACGTCCTACGCATGCCGTACGAGCGTTTACCACGATGAATCTTGTTCGCTTGTGCATGGTCGCACTGCAAAAAATCGCCCAGTGGTCAACCTACCATATGGCGACAAAAGGTTAAGCCGTTGACTTTCTCTCTAGCAGTTGTCGTCCCGTATGTCTTCCGGGCTGGCGCCTCAGAAATGAAGAGAATCGCTGGTTGGAGATCATTGAGCACATGAAGCGTAATTGTGGACAATAGAAGGTTTACATCATCCGACGCAATTATGCAAATGAGCAACACCACAATCAATAAACTGACGGCGTGTAAAAACAAAATGCTTCTATTTGTGTGTCTTCCACTTTAGTCACTATCATCATCTTCGTTGCCTGGTTTCTCGATAGTTCCATGTCCGTTGATTATATATATATATATATATATATATATATATATATATATCGTTCATACATGAAGTGAAACATTAAACATTCTGCACGGTGGGCTATAAAGGGGATACTTTGAATTTGATGCCCTGACCACAACTCGTACACAGACTACATCATTAGCATAACACGCTAGCTGAAGATGAGGAACACACTTCAGCTGCTGTGCCGCAATACAAATAGATAAGATATTCGAAACCAGCGAGATACTAAACATTATAGAATACAATAAATAATTAAAAAAATAATATGCCGCTCGGTATCATATTAGGTATCGATTGTGAGAACGTGGTTGTAGTGGATGATAAGCGGGAGAGAAAAGGACAAAGAAACTCATAGCACTAGCGCCATTGAGGCTGGCTCATTGTGACTTAAGCTGTACCCACGGACGCCGCGGAATTTTCTGCTACCACGCGCTGGATCCTTCTTTTTCTCTGGAATTACTGTATTTTATGTGTGTTGCTGTGTTAGTTGTGCACCAAACTTTTAGTTTCGTGTGTTCATCAATCCGTGAAACTTTCGGGAATTCCGCCTGATATCTTCGGAGATCTCAGTGATTTACGGCTGTGCCCGTCATTTTGGAATTTGTGATCGACATCTTGCTTGTCCTCGTGCTTGAAAAAATACAACAACTATGCCGAATATCATGCAACGACGTATCTGCTCTTCAGCTAATTGCGGCAAAGCCCTTAAAATGGGTATAACGTGCCGAAACTGCAGTGGCTCGTTCCAACCGAGCTGTATAGGAAAGTCCGCCCAAGAAGCAAGGCAAATAAACAAGGCAGCTGACGCATTTTGGTTTTGTCCAAATTGCCAGTTAACTCCAGTGGTCGGTTGTTTATGTGCACTCATGGAAAGGTGCGATACTTTGAATGCGACAATCGCTTATTTGTTGAACGCGAGGCATGCACCACCGGCTGCGAATATGGCCATGATTGTACCACAGTCGGTCAAAGAAAGCTCCACCTCGAGGCCGAAAAAAAGGGCTAGACGCTCAAGCCGCGCTGCAGCCACAGTTTCTCCAAATCCCCTGCCTCACTCAAATCCCAAAATCGGACGAACATCCAGAGTACTGATGTCCACACCTTTGAGTCACACGCCCCACCTCCATTCAACAGCAACCGCGGAAGCTCCGGGGCAGACCACTTCCGCCGTAGAGAAAAGTCGGGCGTCGTACGCCTCAGTCGCCTCCATGCATACACCGGCTAAATTACCTCCGACTCCGGTGGCCTCACCAAGCAACAGTAAGTTGACCAGACTCCAAACAACCAAACAATCTGTTTAACACCGTGTCTTTAAGTCATGGCAAATCTGCATCCAACGCAAGGAGCCAACGCGCGTTAACCGTTGTGTGTACAAATGTTCTTGAATCACAGGCGAGTACAATAAAGGGGAAGCTGTTGGATGATCGTAATCAGTGGAAGTCTATATGTACTGCGATTGGCATTTCGGTTGAACCTGCAATGCTGAGACGAGTCACACGTCATCCAAATTCAGCGCACTACGGTGAACCCCGACTTCTCCGGGTGACACTAAACTCCACCAACGACACAGAGGCAGTTCTACTATCGTCCAACAGGCTTCGTCATTCATCACTCGAGGCGCGCATACTTCCTGATATCCCCTGGAACGAACGTCCGAAAAAGATGAGCAACCGTGAGGAAGTTCGTAAAGCCGAGGCGAAACGGACGATAATTGTGTACGGGGTTCCTGAGCTCCGAAACTCAACCTCTGGTGCAGCGGATGCACATGACCGGGAGCAATGGAGTTACATCCGCCACGAAATATCCCTCAATAATATCATCGCTAAGCGGTTGACCAGGATTCCATTTTCACCCAACTACAAAGGGAACGGTCCCAGACTTATGAAGGTGGTGCTTCAATCTGAGTTTATGTTACCGCTCGCCTTGGAAAACTGGTCCAAATTCCGCATGAAGCTGCCAGCGGAAATTCGGTTAAAGGCATCAGGTACACTGCCACGGATTACCAACGACTCACGGGGAGCGATCAAATTGTTGAACCATTCACTCATGCAACTTTGTGATGGCATGGAGTTATCGACAACCACAATATCCCACGAAACACGGCTGAACACGGGGGACCAGCAGGGCCCGGAAGGCCGCGATCAGTCGTCTAACCGAAAGCAAACTCAAAGGCAAACGTCACCACAAAAAACGGTTAATGGTCGACCCGTTAACGGTCGGCACAAACTCCATTCCTACCACAACCTGTGCTAGCTCACTCTTGGTTACAAAAGCACTATCCTGGATGTATACTAATGCACAAGGCCTCATAAGTAAGTTGGTAGAACTCTGTCACCGTCTGGCTTCGGAGCCTCGAGACATCATAATGATCGCCGAAACCTGGCTGAGCGGCGAAATCACAGACGCTGAGATTGCCATACCGGGTATGTCACTTCTCCGGAACGACAGAACGGGCAAGGGCAGTGGTGTGCTCATGTATTTCCGAACGAACCTTCGTTGTGAGCTCATAGACGATCCCCAGACTTGTGTCACCGACGTCCTTTGGTGCAAACTGTGGTTGGAACGCAACGACGTATGCCTTCTCTCTGTGGTTTACCGACCACCGAAATCCACTCCGGAAAGGGACAACAGACTTATCTCTGCTTTTCGCTCCGTGCTTAATCAGAAGTACAGCCACATCTTCGTTGCAGGAGATTTCAACACCCATGACTTGGAAAATCCAGCATCCGAGACAGAAGTGTTCAAGGCATATTTGCAAGAGCTACTCTCTAGCACCTTCTTGTATAACCACGTCACCGTTCCAACCAGGTTCAGAACAGGAAACAACCCATCGATATTAGATCTAGTGCTCACTAACGAAGAGCTCATGGTCGATGGACTAAAGGTGTGCAGTCCTTTGGGCCGTAGCGATCACGTGACTTTGCAGTTCGATTACATCTGCTACGCCGAATATCCAGCTGCGGAGCTCGAAACGAGGCAATCTGTTACCCCTTACCACGTTCTGTCTGCTCTAGTTGAGAATACCAGTTGGACGTTTCTAGCTAACTGCACCCCAGAACTAGCCTGGGAGACATTTGCGAACACCATCACGTCACTAGTCATAGAAGCCTCAACACCAAATTTTCCCAACATCCCCGCACAGCGAAATCATTCTTGCGAAGCCGGACGCGAAAATGCATGACTCTAAGGGATCGGGCATGGCGGATGTATAAAAGCAACCCCAGCGCAGAAAACTGGACGGAATATGTTTCGCATCGCAACTACTGTGTGCTTTTGGTTCGCGAAGACAAGAGAACGCACCAGCAGGAGCTAGCCAAACGATTCTGTTCGAACAAAAAGCTTCTTTACAAACATGTGAATGGACTTCGCAAAGTGCAACGGGGAATCCCACCACTTAATACGACCAATGGGTATACGCATACTGCGAAGGAGGCGGCCAACGCATTACGGGCCCAGTACTCCCCAATCTTCCAAGGTGTACAAGCCTCGACGTATATTCCGCCACTAGTTACCCCGCCGTCCGTTTTATCCAACGTCACGTTCACTGCAGAAATGGTGCTGCAAAAGCTGCTATCCTTGCGTCCACACAGCTCTCCCGGGGCCGATAACATTCACCCGAAAACATTACAGGTAGCTGCCATCCACTTGGCCGAACCACTAGCTGCATTTTTCAGCGCTGTTTCGATGAGAACATCGTACCTTCGAGGTGGAAACAAGGTGTAATAACGCCCATATACAAAGCAGGAAGTGGATCGGATCCTGCTAATTACCGCCCCGCAACGCTTCTGCCTGTGATCGCCAAAGTCATGGAAGCGGTGATAGCAGATGCGTTAATAGGATACTTGGAAAACTACGGCATAATTGCGCCAGAACAGCATGGGTTTCGTCAATATCGTTCATGTACGACAAATCTGCTGATAGCTCGTGACAACTGGACCGAGACTGTCGATGAGGGAACAGGAGTCGATGTTGCATTCTTGGACTTTTCG